TTAACATAGTTTCAGACTTTGAAAACTTCTACTCGAAATACTCGCGTGAAAAGTAATTTGGCATATTATATGTAATAAAATTATAGACACAAATAAATCATGGAAAAGTATTATAAAATGGCATTTAGGGATGGAAAAAATTGCAGATTTTTAAATTAAATATTTGGTCAATTTTTATAACGTGGGGGTCACACATTCTGTGCTCTTTTTCTTAGCATAGGGACTGAAGGAATGCATAAAAGGTTAGGCTTCATAATTTTTATAAAATTGACTTCTTTAAAAATGTCAAAATATGAATATGTCATTTAAAACATTTTGTAACTGGAAGTACATAATAATGGTTACAAAAATAAAGGTGAGGCAAGGACTTTAGTTGATTACACACACATAAAATGCAACAACAATTACATAAGAAATATATATTACATTTTATCTGAAACATTTTTAGTCTTAACCCTTTGCACTCGAGCGGTGCCTCTCAGGCACCACTGCATGTGATGCGATAACTCGAGCGGTGCTTGAGAGGCACCATTCGAATCGGTGCGTTTATTTGTGTTTGACCTAAGGAATATCGCTTGAGAGATCTACTTGGCCTTTTGTAGATCATATTACGAGGTGTCTGAATAGCTATAAGGATGTTTTATCTCAAATAAAGGTTATCTTTGCAATGCTTATGTGATTAAATGCCTTATCTCAAATATACTTGCGACCGCGGGTAGGACTCTATCTTCGACATCAGTTCGAACTCAACCTTCTTGCCGATCGCAGTATTTCTTTCAAAGTTACTGAGCCCAATAAGTATGGAACACGACGAAGTTACTTCTAGCAAAGATGAGTTTAATTTTCCAGAAATAACGAACGAAATTACATGACTACATAGACAGCTTGCCCATGAGAACGAAGACGGAAGTGATAAAGATAGTGACGACATTAGAGGAGCAAGAAGATGAAAAATCCGAATAATCGATAATGAATCTGGAATCCAAAGTGATTGTACAGAAGAGACTGAACCTTCAGAATGGACAGTGTGCACAGAATCCGAAGAAATCCCCAGAAGAATACCATTTGTATCCGGTGGTGAAAGACAAGTAGGACCGCACGTATTTACACACATAAAAGAACCAATAGATTTTTTCAAATTACTTTTCACCAAGGAATTAGTTACTGACATAGTGCAGGAAACTAACAATAACGCTGCAAGGAAGGTGGAAGGGAAGACCTTATCATCCCGTTCTATATGGCGATCATGGTACGATGTAACAGTTACCAAATTTTGGGCGTTTATTGGGGCAATCATAAATATGGGGACAATGACCACTGGCAAACATACAAGAATACTGGTCGAAAAATGATACTAGTTATATTCCGTTTTACTCAGACACGTTTACGAGAGACCGATTTTGTCAAATATTTTGGAGACGTTCACCTCAAGACAATACCCTCAGAAAACACAAACCCTAGAACCCGTTTGCAGTTAGTATCTGGTTTCCTCGAGTATATAAATGAAAGGTTCTTGAATTATTTTGTACCCGGAGAGCAGATTTGTGTGGATGAGTCGACCATGTCAAATTCAAAGGCCGCATATCATTCATTACGTACAATCCAATGAAACCTACAAAATGGGGTATTCGGGTTTATACGCTCGCAGATTCAAATACCGCTTCATTTGTGCTATTCTGCCGTATTATGGATCTCTAACAACAGAGACTTTAATAAGACCTGATCTACCGGTATCAATCAGAATACCGCTACATCTATACAAAATGTTACAGGATAAAATTCCCGGTATTCAAGTTTACGGACCATTATTATACGAGTTACATATTGGCGGAAGAATTACGCAAACAAAAGTGCCACTTAACTGGGATGATCATGACAAATAGAAAGCACCTGCCATGTGAAATACAAAAGCCAAAATTTGAGAAACGAACCACATGTGCATATCGTAAAGGTAATATTTTGGTTCTTGCGTGGAAGAACAAGAGGACTGCGACGGCTTTGACGACTTGGAATAATGCGGGAATAACTCCTGTAAGAAGAACTCTACAAGGCGGTATTGAAGTCGTTATAAAAAAGCCCAATGTTATAGTAAATTACATCAAATATATGAGCGGTGCTGATCGAGCTGACCAACTGGCTTCCACATATTGTTTTTTAAGAAAATCCGTAAAATGGTGGCGAAAACTATTTTTTGGGGGTTTGGAGATCTGCTCCATCAATTCCTACATTCTTTATAAACCAGTAAAGAAGCAGAGAAATGAACGGCCGCTTAGTCACCTACAATATTTGAAGACCTTAGTGGATCAACTGAGGGGAGACTCGACAAAGACAACCCAGCACAGCTTCTACTTCACACAGCATTTCTGAAGCGATCCGACTAAATGGGAAGCTGCATATTATTTTGATGGGGCAAAAAAAAGATTGCAAGTTTTGCTCCCAAAGAACGCCCCAAAGGCGACAAACTGTATACTACTGTGACACATGCCCCGACAAGCCAAGAATGCATATTGGAGATTGTTTTGTAAAATATCATACGAAGCAAAATTTTAGAATGTAATGTTTAATACATATGGTTCATTAAGTTAAAAAAATATGTATAATGTTAAAATATGCGAGTTTAAAGTGTTTTATTGTGTCTAAAATTATTTTAAGTTAACAATAAGGAACTCATGATATAAGCGGGAGTGGCTGATTACTCTCAAGTTGCTGGCTCACCCGGCAGAAAAGCGCCTCGAGCGCAAAGGGTTAACATTATTTTTCAAATTTAGACATCATGAGACAAGAAAAACTATAATATGCTTTCTTGCATTTCACAGCAAAGGAACTTAAGCATTTCCGGCAAAATTTTGATTCCACAAGTACTAACTTAGAGAAAATGTTTTTAAAGAAATAATTTAACTCTTGCATCAGTACCTCTAGAACAGCGTTTCTTAAACTGTGGGTCACGACCTGCAGCTGGGTTGGCCAAAAATTTAGCAGTTTTGATATTTAATAAACTTATTATAATAATTTTACAATTACCAAATATTTTTACACAATATATCTGAAAATAGATAAAGATAAGACAATACAGTAAAAAAAAAAAGGGGGGGAACATTTCGACATATTCCTTTTATAATAGAAACGTTCATTTTACTTGCTTTGTACGTGACGCTGTCATTTTGTCTGTTATTTAAAATTTTCACATTGTTCTATGCTTTAAAGTTAATGACCTAAAACTGCAATAGTATATTACAGTACAAGTGAAAAAAATTGACAGTTTCACACACGCATGAGTTGGATTTGCTTATGGGGTCCCCCAAAATTTTCGTAAATATTATGGGGTCCTGGGGTTCGCGAAAAAATGTCAGTGGTAAAAAGGGGTCGCAACTGAAAAAAGTTTCTTTAATCCTGCTCTAGATAATGCAACAGATGTCTGTGAAATTTCAAAAATTTTCAATACATTGTAAGTAATGACTTAATGATAGCTAAAAGACTAAGAAAAATGAAGAATTTCCTTATTATAAATGAGTAATTATAAAATGAAATGGGCTGCATCAAATAATTTTCTACTAAAAATAATGTGGTTATGATTATTCAAGATATATAGTAAGCCTTAAACATCAAAATAACTGGGCATCAAGTAGAACTGAGTTTAGACTACAGTTACAGGTACTTCATTCCACGCACTTTCAACTCTATTCCAGAGTTCATCGTTCGTAGTCGTATGCCAGTCTCTTGGCACCCCCATGACTAGATGTTCTCAACAGGTGAGATCTGGAGAATAAGCCAGCCAGGGCAACAGTCGAACACCTTCTGTATTGAAGAATGAAAGATGGCATACTGTCAGTTTCATACATAGGGCACAGCCTCATGTCTTAACAGGTCGAAAATGTAATGGCAGCTGCCCTCACTATACGAACAGCAAGTGAAAGGGACGTGTACCCAATGGCACCCATACTGGCAAGCAGTTAATATACCTGTATAACTCTAGTGAATGCAAGTTAGAACATGTGTTTTCATTGCCTCCATATATGGACACATTCATCAAGACGCTATACACAAAAGCAGGATTTGTCCAAAAAGATGATGTGGTGCCACTCATGTGTTCAGTTTAGTTGTTCATTGCACCACTATAGGCATGCATGTCTCTGCTGCTGCATCATGGAAAGCCACAATAATATCTCCATGTTGGGAGTCTATGACACTGTCCATGCAGACTGTTATTGTCCTCAACGTGAGCCAAGTTTTTGACTCTGGGTATGTGATCTGGCTCCATGATCCTCTAAGGCCAAACAGACAATATGTCTGTCCTCTAAAATTTAGTGGCCCGAGGCTGCTGAGATCCAACATGATCCGTATAGAACCCTAGATGTACTTATTTCATATTCACTAACACTTATGGGATCCTAACCAACGTATGCAATGATATCACAGAAAAATAAATTACAATCTCAATAGGTCACAATATTGCCGCGGTGAAATTCTGATACATGAAGGTAGAAGATACTCTTTTCTAAGCATAGCATGACCTATACACATATATCCAACATTTAAATGTGATTTCCAGATTAGAAATCTGCAATGGAATCTTCCCATTTATACACAGCATTTAACGTTTGCTGCATGAAACCTTCAGAATGTAGTAAAATTTCCCAAATTTGGATACTTTTAGCAAAATACTCCCCCTCAAACTGATATCTAGAAGCCTCAATACATTTGTATTATATTGCTTATGCTAAAAAAATAAAATTAAAATATTACTCAGCCACATATAGCTATCCAATATTTCAGTTAATTTAATGCTGCTACTATTATTGAAAACATATCACTGTAATTATATTCTATAAATTTAAAATTAGAAGGGGGGAAAAAACTCAATTCAGAAAAAATACATGCATTTCAAAAACAGTGTTTGCAAAAATTTAAAAAAAAAAATCTGCATAACATTTATAAAAAATGATATTTTAAATTACTACATGAAAACAAAATACAATAAGAGAACAACGGCAAAAAATAACCTGAGGATATCCCATTGTCTGCTGAGGTGGCCCAGATGCATGAATCATTCCAGGTGGAGATGTATATTGCATTGTCAACTGTGAGGGTGTTGGTATAGCTGCTGGAGCTAGAATTGGTTGACCAGTAGCAGCAGCAACATGCATGGGAGGTGTGATTTCATGCCTGGGTTGCATTGTTATAGGTACTGAAATTTTTAAAATTATAAGATACTAAGCTATTAAGCATATTAAACAAGGATGAGAATTTTCTTTAACTTCATTAATCAAAATTTCACAGACAGTAAAAAAATAATATATACATATTTTTTCCCATATCATCATTTTACAGATTGCCACTAGTCATGCCAAAAAATATTCATTTTTATACTGAGTTGTCTTTCAAAAAATGATAACTGATATCTGCTTCAAAATGTCACATGTGGCAGCAAAAAGTAAGTACACTTTTTTCACATGGCTATATGAGACTTATAAACATCAGTCGAATATTAAAAAGCCAAAAGCGAAGAAAGCAGACAAAAATTTTAAGTAATCAAAAATTTGACTTAAATTTTGAATTCTACATTTTGACATTCGGTTAAAAATTTCGGTTTTTCTAAATTTTACTGTATTTTGTTTCTCCATTTGCTAGTTCTCCCAAATTCAGCCAAAACATAATACACTTTAGTAATAGTGATAATATACTGAGATACTTGGTAGGTATAAAGTTAAGTCTATGAGTACTAGTTGCTTTAAACAAGCAAACCCTGGTTTTAACTAGCAGCATTTATATGGCTTCCACCTCAACTAACCCTTTCTTGGAAAAATTTCTTTAACAATCAAAAGTCCACTGAAAGTAAGTGATGAGTCATAAATCCTGCAAACACATGATGGCAGCCTTTTTCGTCTTGCCAAGTGCATGTGCAAGGACATTCCATGACAACCCTGAGTGAACAGAGACGAAGGATGTTGCTGACTAGAAAGAAATTTACTCTGCATAGGAGTGACAAGGTAAGGGACTTATGTGGAGGTCTTTCTTTGACCTGAATTCATAGAGTATGCTCCTCAAATTTTACCTGGTGATGTCGAAACCAAATTATAGCAGTTGACAAAAAAGTAAGGATTTCACGAAAATTGGAGGATGGTGTAAAATATTCCAAAATTTGCAAAAAGTATGATTTATCTTCTGCTGTTACAACACTGTTAAAGAATAAGAAAAAATTAATGGCTGCATTTAATCAAAATAAGAATGACTGTAAATGTTTGAAGAAATGGGATACGGAGGACTTGGACAACGATCTTTAAAAAGGAATGAAGGTGCAATGTAGTGTAGATTTTCCTGTTGAGTGGTCCATTTTTTAAAGCAGAAAATTTTGGCTATTTTGGATTTGTATGCTCGAATGGATGGCTTGATCAATTCAAGAATAGACATGGGATAAACTTTGGAAAAACCTGTGAAGGAAAGTCTACAAATATGGATATATTGTGACATGGATGAGTGGAAAGTGGCAAGCCATCAGAGAAGGATACACAAAAGATAATATATACACTGGTAAAAAAAAAAAAAGGGGGGGGGACAGTTCTATGTCTCCCGTTCTACTAGGCTGATTGATGAAATTCAAATTGCGTTCTTAATGTCTCGAAAGCGGGACTTAAGATATATATTAGATTTATATACAGCTCTACTCTAACATAGTTATTTTGACATGAAATCGGACTTTTTCTGAAATAACATACCAAATTTTTTCCATATTTCGATTCTACGACTCAAATTATGCCTAAATACAGGGTTGTCACTCAAACAGGAGAATGAAATTCCCTGACTTTTCCAGGTATGTTTCGAGAAAATTCCAGTCTATCCGCATAATGTACGTTGGCTGTGCTAAGAGGTATTTTAATTATGGTATTACTTGTATTGTGTAGCATATTCACTTAATTATTCAATAAATCCCAGAGGATATTTATTCTTAATTATTTTTGGTACACTTTGTTTACTTTTCCACTTAAGAAACGTAATAAAATTTAAGATATATACATTGGATAACAATTGTACGTTTTATTTCATTATTACTCATTATTATCACCAGTTCAAAATGAGGCTAATCCGGTTCTTATAAATCACAACACAATGCTAAATAGTTAGGTTAGATTTTAGGTAAATTTAAATTGTGTGAGGTGTCTTCTTAAAAGGCACCTTAACACTTGAAAACACAAATATAATTATAATAGGAGTTGTTTTCTCCACTGAAGATTGAGATTAGAATCTGCCCAATCTGGAATAAAATAAGGCTTTTTTTTGCAGACATTCTGCAGCTAAACAAAAGAAAGAAATCTATTTAATGATATTTTTTTAATAAATTGAGGTATTTTATATTTATTTCGCAGCATACACAAGGAAAAAATATGTGCATTAAATTTCGTGATGGTATGTCATCATACTGCTAGAATTAATTTCAGGATTGTGCCAGAGAAAATTTCCTGAAATTTGGAAATATTATTTACTAATGATAAATGAATTTAGAGGGAAGAAGAAACATTAAATGATATGAACAACATAAAAATAAAGATAATTACTTAAAAATTGAATCAGAATAATCAACGATATTTTAGCGAATATTATATATAATTAGTTATATTACATGGTTAGCCTAGATGACTGATTACTATAAAATACTGAGTCTCAGTCATATTACTATATACTTTTTATTTTACTGCAAAATTACAAGGTATTTATTAGAAAGAAAAAAAAAAAAATGTTTAAAAAAGATTTTGCGGTAAAATCCTAGTACTTATGGTACTCCCTTCGATACGGCCCACGTCCTTCCCAGAAAAAATTGAACAAAAATGACGCCCGTTTCCATCATCATCAAAGTCGCCAAATCCCCGCTGTACCATACATGGAGATTATTCTAACCAAAGAAAGTCTAGTATGTAAAGAAGAAAAGGTTCCATACAAGTAAATGCTATTACGCCGCTAGAAAGCGGAGGGAAAATTTGTCAAGGGATTTGGTGACGGAACCTGGCGGCTAGAATTTACCTGTCCGTGATGTGTACAGGAAATTGAGAAACACGTGTTAAGAAGAAACGTTATTTGACAAAAAAGAAAACTACGAAAATCCGCTTTTAAATTATTGCGAAAAATCCAATAAGAAACGTTTTATCAAAGAACGTTTTTTCTCGGATTTTTCGCAATAATTTTAAAAACGGATTTTTGTAGTTTTTTTTCTTTCTTTAAAATAACTAATTTATGAATTAATTTACTTGCGCCAAAAAAAATTTCTTTTCCTTTAGAGTTTAAAGAAATTTCAAACGATATTCATTTTATGAACTCTTGATAACGTGACCTTCGAATTTCGACACCGGTTTCGAGCTTTGGCGACAGATATATCACGCATCCTTCTTTACAATACATATTCTTTGATTCTAACCTTCATGGTACCGTATACTAGGATGAAACCCATTTTGTTTTATACGAGAACAGGTACTTTCTTTAGTCCATGCACTGCACATGCGATTCTCGAGGTTACTGGAAACCAAAAGTTGCGGGAAACTTGCTTTGCCTTTCTAAAAGACAATCAAATTGAAGCTGCGAAAATTGGCTCTATGCCAGCTGCCTGAATGACACTCACGTGATACACAATTAGCCAAAAAAGTGATCTCTTTCGACGTTGGCGCAAAACTCGCCTTTTTTGGCGGGATCATTGTATGAAATTCCCTGACTTTTCCCTGAATTTTTTGGTCAATTTCTGAATTCCGACTTTTTCCGGGTTTTCCAGGTAGCGTGGCAACCCTGTAAATATTAAATTTTGTAAAATTTGGTGCGAAATTTATGGAGAAATTCAAAAATTTATGTTGGCGCTTTTTATTCAGTTTCCGCCAAAATTAGTTCACTTGGCGAACTTCTTAATATGTGGCAATCTATTTTCATTTTTATTTTTATATAGTGCATGAGAGGAAAAAAAAGACCCAATCATTCCTTCTTTCAAAAAATGTTCTTTATATTATATTTTAAATTTTAATTGTAATTCATTCATTCATTCATTCATTTTTTTTCTTTTTCGAATTTCATTTCTATTGTTTAAGTTGCATGGTTTCTTTTGAATAACTGTTTTAAACATTTCTATTTACTCATTCGAACTGCATAGTTTAAATCAAAAGTGCATCGTTTATTTATTTATTTTTTTTCAAATAGTTTTCTTTGTTCTATATTTTTAGTCATAGTTACTATTTTAGGTAATTTTTAAATTTTTACACTTTTATTTTAATTGTTTGTGTTCCATTGTCTCTTCAGATAATTATTTTAAAATTTTCTATTTATTCATTTGAACTGAGCATTTTAAATATATTTATTAACGTAAATTTTCCAGAATTTGATTTTATTTATCTGAATTGTGTTTCTTTCGGAAAAATACTTTGTAACCCAGACTACGATGCATTTGAAAACTGCATATATTAAAAGAGAAAATACAGTTAACACGCCTTTCAATGTTCCGTTCAGAAAAGATATATATAAATAAGAGAGATGTATAACTGACATTTTAACTTAAAATGACTTGCATACACTGCTTTAAAGAGTTTTATCATTGTGCCCATTGCTTTACACAATTTTATCCTACATTTGGTTTCTTAAAATGTTATTCATGTTTTAGTCAAATATTTTATTTTTGAAATCGCAAGAATCAAATATCATAAGATAAAAAGTTTTAAATAAAAAAAAGTACAAATACTAAATTTTACGCAAAAATTTATTTTTTTCTTCTCTTTTACTTCAGCCGTTCTGCTTCATTCTTGCTCTTTTTCTTTAGGCATTCTGCAAGTATATTAAAAAGCATCAAACTTTTCAAAACATCTTCGTATTTCTGACAATCACTTTAAATAAAGTTATCGTCTTCCATTTCATAAATTCCACAAGTGGCTGAGCAGTAAAGTCGCTGAACACTGGTAGTTCTCTCCGGGGTTTGAATCTTGGTAAACGAGCTTGTTTCATAGGCGTTTTCGTGTATTTTTTTCATGTCTAACATGTATGCCAGCTGGTTTTCCTTAGAAAGTTCTTCACAAAGGTATCCCTTCTTTTAGGGAGGTAGCCCAGCTTTGCCGTAACTTAATAATCCAATTCAATCCATTTCATCAGTATTTAAGTCAGAGCATTTTCTCTTTGAACACCTAAATTTTTCAAAATGAATATAAAGTTCTTCTGATCAATTTTTGA